GAGATGGGCATGGAGGAGGGCACTTGTGGGGATGAGCACCAGGTGTTATATGGAAACCAACTCGACAATAAACTATTTGTAAAAAAAAAAAGAAAAGAAAAGAAAAGAAATCACAGGCATTGGGAGGATGTGGAGGAAGGGGAACCCTCCCTCCACTTGGTGGGAACGTAAGTTGGTGTAGTCACAATGCCAAACTGTATGGCGGGAGGTTCCTCAAAAAAGTAAGAGTAGAACTAATCATATTATCCAGCAGTTTCACTTCTGGGTATTAATCTGAGGAATACAAACACACTAATTTGAAAAGATACAGGCACCCCCATGTTTATTATAGCATGAGTTACAACAGTCAAGATATAGAAACAACCCTAAGTGTCCATCGATTGGTGACTGGGTAAAGAAGATAAGGCATATATATACACAGTGGAGTATTAATTACTCAGTAGCCACAAAAAAAAAAAAAAAAAGGAAATCTTCCATTTGGAACAACACAGATGGGTCTAGCAGGCTTCAGACTAAGTGAAATAAGTCAGATGGAGAGAGACAGATTTCATATGATCGCACCTATAAAACAAGACAAATGAACAAACAAACCAAAAACAAACTCATAGATCCAGAGAACAGGTTGGTGGTTACCAGAGGGGAAGGGAGTTGTGGGGAGGGCTGAGTGCGTGAAGGCGGTCAAGTGCATGGTGATGGATGGTAACTAGACTTATGGTGGTGATCGCTTCATAGTGTACACAAATACCAAATTATGATGTTGTACACCTAAAATTAATACGATGTTATATGCCAGTTTTATGTCAGTAAAAACAGAAAAAAAATTGTAAATTCAGGCTGAAATGAAACATGGTCTCACAAAGGGTTTAAACAAAGTCCTATAACTTTTTACAAAAAATAATGACAAAATGATAAAATGTTGTTAAGGGAAGTAGGTATGTGTTAGAGTCTATCCTTAATGTCTGATGTTTGCCTCAGAAAGGGCAATCCCATTTTCCCCAGCCATGCTGGCAGCATTTAGGACTGTGTAGACAGACCCTGGGCCCCGATTCACAACAGTCATTTCTATTGCAAGGGTTGGCAAAGCCCTCTTAAAACAGGAGCCCACCTCTCCAGCTCTTGTACCAGGAATGCAGAGCTGTGCACTCAGGTGAGTAACTATGGAAACCACTCCCTATTGTGACTGAGGACTTTTCAAATTAAGGTGGGCAGCTTGCTCTCACAGGGAGCTCGTGAGAGCCACAGGGAGCTCTCCGTATTCATGGAACATCACAAAGAAATGAAATTGAGCACTTAAGAGCCATAAGAGGTTTCCATAATCATGGGCATCAGAAAGAAATGGAATCCTGGAGCTCGAGTTGAGTGACTTAAAACCTAACCTTTCACATCTGCTGAGTGATGACCACAAACCCAGATCTTGTTTTGAAGTGAGGCCTTGAGGACCGGACTTAACCTTGGGGTTGTGGAGAAAGCCATTAGGCTGTGGTGCTTTTCAGAGTTTAATATTTAATTGAGCTGCTTAATATCAGACTATGAGTGATAGATGTTGCTTTTGAATAGGCTTGGCTCAATCTTGGTGGATTTGCTGTTGATTTTAGAATGGGACAGACTGTTCGAAAGGTTCGAAAGGTTTAACACTAACTCGTTTTTGTATTTCTGCTTTACATGGACTTGTGAAATGAGCTATAACTGAATGAAGCATTATGAGTTTTACAACCCAAATATTTAAAGTGATTAAATATTTAAAGTGATCCCCAGCTTAAGCTCTCAAACCAGTGGCTTTAAAGCATTATCATCTTGTTTTATTTCCTTTTTCTTTTTTGTTTTTTAAAAGCACTGCCAGCGAAAGACGTAAAAGAAAAACCTGAACAACAGGCCAGGACGAAAGAGACTGACAAATTACCCAGCAGCACCGAACCTCGACAGCAACCAAGTGCCTTATTTGCTAGAGGAAATAGGAAAGCAGCCAAAAGTCCTCAAAGATCATCCACTAAAATAAAGGAGAAGAAGCATCCGTTTGCTCTTTATGGGTGGGGAGAAAAACAGACCGATACCGGAAGCCAAAAAACTCACAACGTCTGTGCGTCTGCCCCTGTGCATGAGGTGGGTTCGTGTGCCTCTGACGTCTCTGCTTGTCTGGAGGTGGGGGTTGGGCAGCGTTCCCGTCATCGGGTATCCTATCCCATGTTCACCGCAGTGCTTTGGGGTCATGGGGGATCTTAGGAGATGGCAGGTGGGCATCTGATTGGCAAACAGGACTTGGGTGTCAGCTCCCTGGAGACCGAGGGGTTGTGCTGGGAATTAGCTGGGAAGGTTTGCCAACACGGAGCCAGGTGAAGAAGTGGCTGGAGTCAGGGGTTTCCAGTTCCTGGGGGCCTGCAGGTGTGGAGGAGGAGCCCAGCCGGGGCTGGTGGCAGCCTGTGAAGGTTTGCCTTGGGCCTCGTGACAGCTTTCTGGTTCCTGTGGCTTTGACAACTGGTGCTCCTTGACTCCCTCATTATCTGTTGTTATTGGTTCTGTGGTTCTCAGCACCTACTGTAGATTCCCTTTGGCTCTTTGTGTTCAATTTGGATGATTGTGTTTTCCCCTGCTCATCCACATCTAGTGCCTTTTACTCATTGGAGCTTTAGTTGTCCTCTTTTTTTTTTTTTTATGTTTATTTTTGAGAGAGAGAGAGCACAAGCTGGGGAGAGAGAGGAAGACACAGAATCCGAAGCAGGCCCCAGGCTCTGAGCTGTCAGCACAGAGCCTGATGTGGGGCTCGAACTCACGAACCGGGAGATCACAACCTGAGCTGAAGTCGGACGCTTAACCGACTGAGCCACTGAGGCGCCCCTAACTGTCCTCTTACTTGGTTCTGAGAACATCTCTGACCAGAGGTCTTCGTGTTTGGAGCCACAAAGCAATCACTTATGTTAGCATTGACATGACTCATTCAGCCTAAAGCAAAGCATGAATGAGAAGAAGCAGAAAGTACAAAGAATTTGATTCTGATGAAACAACCACAATCATATTTTCACCGAACAGACTTCTCAACGAACCCCAGCAGATGGTGTTTTTTGGAGTGACATTTGAGACAGTGACGCTGTGGTTTAACAAAAGACTCTGGCTATTGCATGGGATTAGGTTTAACAGAGTTTAACATGTTAATGGGTCTGTTGCATGAAACGTCTTAAGGGATAAAAGTCCTTTAATGGAATACTTACCCAGGCTTAATGAAAAACATTTTCAATAATCTGTCAGAGCCAGTTTCTAGAGGCAGATTAGTCGCTTACCATTTATATCCAAAATTTAATGTACCTTAAAAGTGTTTAGTATCATGGTCGCTGACAACGGGCGAGGGAATGCTTTTCCGGAGGAGCTGTTATACCCAGGAGAACTGGATATGATGAAGCTGGGCTGACCGCTGCCCTACTTCCGGTGATGTGGGGTAGAGGGTAGTAGCTTCACTGTAAATATTCTGGAAGAATTAGTATAAGAGCCATGTAAGTGATTATACTTTTATTTTGGAAGTAATACTAATTGTTTTTTATTTTTGAGTCATTTAGATTCATGAATCAGCATTACGAGCCAAGAACAGAAGACAAGTGGAAAAAAGGAAACTGGTTGCTCAGAGGCAGCGTGCTCACTCTGTAGATGTGGAGAAAAACAGAAAGATAAAGCCTTCCCCCTCAGAGAACCCCTGGATGACAGAATATATGCGATGCTATTCTGCACGAGCTTAAAGGCCAAAACCGTTGCTTGGACAGCTTCTTCAAAAGAGTGTAAATGAGAGACAGAAGAAACCAAACAGAAGAAAAACCATTAAAGGAAAACAGACACAAGTTTAAGAAACCACCTGATTATGCAAGGTTTCTCCTAGGGAATTTCCAAAAGATTGCTCTATTTCGATGAACCCTGGTCACCTACCTCAGCAGTAGGGCGACAGTTGAAGCCATAGACACTTGGTTATTTATGAAGATAAGTCCCTAATATTTGATATTCTTATAAAGGTTTTTGTTTTAAAGCATCTTAATCTTTTCAGATACGACACCGAATGCCTTTAAATGGCTATTGATTCTTCATATTCAGTATTCTCTATCAGTTTAGCCGGAGCCTGTTTTCATCCCGTTCTGAATAACTTTCCAGAATTCCAGAGTGAGGAAGATCCTTCCAACTTGCAGCTTAAGACTCATTTTCCTTACGTATAGTTTTCTTTGTGAAAGACTAGCTCATCAAAAGTGAGTGTCAACACCAATATCGATTCCCTGTGTGGTGAAACCAGAACTTCGGTAGTTCCTGAAAAACTAAACTTCCTTGTATTTCAATTTCGGCACCACTCTATGCAGACTGTGATATTTAAGCATTAGCTGGGCGAGGGTCCTCTGTTCTCTTTAAATTGTCATCTAGGCACTTTCTATTTCTTACATATTTTAATAGATCAAATGCATTCCAATAAACAAAGTGCCAGTGTAGTGTGCTTAGAGTAGTACTGAACTTATTTTTGAAACTTTTTTTTTTTAATTATTGCAACCTTTTTTTTTTTAAAACGCATATGGGGAATTAGCTTCTTGCTGCAATCCAGCCTTTTGGCATATATGCACTGTGGATTTTTGCCTCTTCTAGAAGAGCTGGCAATGACGTTTAGAACTTACGATGTGAAATTTCATTTAATGATGTTGAGATGGTTGTGCTCACTGGCGGACGATATTCAGATACCCGTTAGAGGTGTGGCCTATTTCTACTTTCTCCACTTTTCCACAGAACTCATTAATAACAAAGCCTTGACGAGGGACATTGCTCAGACTTCTGCTGCAATGCAGTTCTCCCGGACTCCTAGCCAGTGGAGTGAGATGGTGGCGGTGTGTGTCTAGGCATGGATGTTGTGTATGTAAATGAAGTGCTCCTTCCCTGCTATGTTTGCATTTGGGTAGAACAAAGTGTTTTTAAGGAATGCTGGTTTCTGTGCAGGTGATAGAGGAATCTGCTGGAAGGAAGAAGTGAATTCTCTATAAGAGAGAACAAATGTCCTTTACCTAGGCCATGTTACCACCTATAGATGGGTGAATAAAATTTGCTGTTAGGTGTGAGGTTGAACATTCCTTTGATATTTTTATTCTGGATCTTTGAAGTGTTAATTTTTACTCTTTTTTTTTTTTTTTTTAAAGTAGGCTCGAACTCAACGACCCTGACTGACTCTGACTGAGATCAAGAGTCATATGCCCTACCGACTGAGACAATGAGGCCCCCTCTAGTCAATTTTTAGAACACAGATGTTTTATTCCACATAAAGTCTTCACGCCATGTCCCCTTACAACTATACAAGCTTTGAAAACTCAAGAATCATGAGCTTTAAGAAACAGATTTTTTAAATATGTGGATCGTGTTGAGGTGAATTCTTTTACCTAGAGAGCTCTCCTAATCCTTGAGCTAGGTAGTTAACAGGAAGTTCCATGCATTGGTCCAAAACAACCCTACTAATAATCCTGGTGAATGTTGCTGTAATTATTATTCTTAAAGTCCTCCAACACTGCGGGTACCTACAGATCAAATTGATGTGACATTGTGCTGGTATGGCTGCTTGTGAAGCCTGTTCCTTCCAGAGTCCTTCTCGCATGTTTGTTTTTAGCCATCCGCTCAAGCATTCCTGTTGCACCTGACAATCTTCGGGAAGACAGCCTTGGGAGTAGCTCAGGCTCCACGCTGACGGGCTGTCTTAGCAACCCAGCTTCCTCTAGGCTTTGACCAAGCTGGACTCTCTCCCCTTTAGAGAACAGACTTGTATTTAATGTGCTTACTACTGAAAACTCCAGATGGAGACAAAACCTCGAAGGCAATATTGGCCAGTTTCCCCCCTTTTTAAGTAGAGGACAGATGAACACGATTTTAAACGTACTTTTAACGTGCACGAACAATGACTAAATCAGTCTGAATTAACAGTGAGTCCCCTTCTCATGTCCAAGTCATTAGTTGGTTAGGGTGTCTTTTCAGGGGTGAAACATCACCTGTTGAGCCCATGAGGTTTTTTAAGTGGTAACAATTTGACTTTTTCCTTTATTCTAGAAATTAATGTTCCTAATCCTTGTAATCATGTTCCTAATTCTTGGGACAATTTGGAAGACAGCAAGATGGTTTAAAATTACCTTTCATGTTGAAAAGTTTGAAACTGAGAATCCAGTGAAAATGTAGAATAAAATAATTGCTACATTAAGACTCTCTTTTTAAAATTCTGGTTTTAAAATTAAAAGTTTGCCGTAAACATGGTTTCTGCATTACTTTTATTAAAAGCAGTCATCGCATAGTGAATAAATCTAGCACTCTGCTGGACCAAAGCAAATGAGACATAAACAGGAATCTATTCTTTCTTTTTTAAAAAAATATTTTGAAATATTTTTAAAGTTTATTTTTATTTATTTTGAGAGAGAGAGCAAGCAGGAGATGGACAGAGAGAGGGGGAGACAGAATCTCAAGCAGGCTCCACACTGCCAGCACAGAGCCCGATGTGGGGCTCGAACTCACGAACCATGAGATCATGAGCCAAACTCCAGAGTCGGACACTTAACCGACTGGACCACCCAGGCGCCCCTATTCTTTCATTTTAAACCGAAGAGGCTGCTGTTATTTAGGAAGTATCAAAATACTTAGTACCTCTGGTTTTATATATATATATATATATATATATATGTATACACACACACACACACACACACACACACACTCCTATATATATAAACTCCTCCACCGCCATAACATTTCTAAGTACATGTATACATTTTTTAAAAGTTTACTAAAGGTATACTAAGGTATAGGTTATTTTAATTGCTCATGATGTAGTAGGCACCTATTTATGACACTTCATATGTAATCGCTTTGTCATTGTTTCATTAAATAAAAATTGCTAATAACTTGAAAGCTGTGTATGTGAGGTCATTCAAACTCTGTTAACTAAACTGCACAAAAGAAAGGTGTCTGTGAGTTGTTAGAAGTCACCTCCCCCACCCCCTGCCAAAAAAAGTCTCTTCCCAAAACAATTTTGTGCAATTGGCAGAGTTAAAAAAAAGAAAAATCTCTAGCGATACCCTTTCTCCTTTAATTTGCAATGCTGCACTGAGCATAAACTTTAAACATGGAATGTTATAGTACTTGGTATTTAAAATATTCAAAAGTATTATTGGCAAGGAGAAAGGCAAAGCGTATGTTAGAAGCGAAAACAACTTTTGACTGAGTAAAATATAGAGGACAGTTTTACACTAGACTAGATACAAAACGGTGCTAATTTGTATCTTGATTCTGTATCTGGCTTGAGATTAAAATGCTAGTGCCCAACTCATAAGGTCTTCACTATAGTCTGGCGATAAGTTAAATAATATTTAAACAGTGATACTAAAAATGTGACCGGATCATTTCATAATGTTTGCATTTGAAATGGATTTTTTTTGGGGCAACAGAGTGAATAGGGAGTAATACAGTGTAAGTATATGCTTAATACCAAATTCTATGCAAGGAGCTATGTCTAGATTATTGGCCCAGATTCACTCCCTTCAAGCCTAGTAGTGTGAAATGGAAGTAAGTTGCTGCTGCTGCTTCTTTTAATGTTTTGTTTATTTCTGAGAGAGAGAGAGAGACAGTGTGAGCAGGGGAGGGTCAGAGAGAGAGAGGGAGATACAGAATCTGAAAGCGGCTTCAGGCTCTGAGCTGTCAGCACAGAGCCTGGCATGGGCTTGAACTCACGAACTGTGAGATCATGACCTGAGATGAATGAAGTCAGATGCTCAACCACAGGCACTCCTTTGGGAAATAATTCTGATTAGTACATCAATGGCTGTATGTATGATGTACGATCACATTAACTCCTGAATGGATTTTTTCCCCTCAGACCAGTGTTAAGAGACATTACACCCAGGAAAAGATACTTTTTGTATAAATACTTTGAGTTGAACTATAAATGTTTCCTAGACTTTTTCCCCTCACATCTTCCTATTTTGAAAATTACAAAAGCAGTAACACATGAGATGGTTAAAATCATTCAAAAATAAGGATAGAGTAAAAAATGGAAGTTCTTTCAATACCACCCTGCCCCCAAATTCTGCACCCCTTCTTCGAGGAAACCAGCGTTGGCTTGGAGGCCTTCTTTGGCAGGCACTATCTATGGAGTTACATAGGCTCCTTCTTCAGTGCACAAATGTGTCATCATGCCGTACACATTCTATATCTTTCTCCTAATATCGCGGGAAAGGTTTGTGTTCCGGGTTACGTGGAGTCACCACATACCTCCTTTCGTTCTCACTGAACACAGCTACGAAGCCCGGGCAGAACGTCCAGCACAACCATTGGATGGCTTGAAGAAGTAAGTAGCGCCGAGCAGGCTGTGGAGAATTCTAAGCACCTGCGATGTGGTGAGTGTGCCATCTTTGTACCCCTCTGGTTTCTCCCAGCCCGAATGCAGCACAGCCCCAAATGGAGAAGTGAGCACGGTGGCGCCAAGATCCTAGAGAAGCCAGGTCTGAGGGACAAAACCAGAAGTGCTAGAGCCCAGAAAAAGTGGGGGAAATGCCTGCTGCTTGCCCTCTATTGTCTCCATGTTTCAGGCTAGGCCTCCCTGGGCTGCCGCCAGGAGTCTGAGGGAAGGGACTTTCTTTTCCATTTGGTAGAGCTGTGGCACCAAGAAGGTGAGGCTGAGCCTGCATGCTCCTCTTCCGCTCTGAAGGACAGGGTCCAGTTACAGGAATGGGCCAGAAGTGGTGGCCTAGCGGACCCAGGAAGTGCTGGAGAGTAGGGAGGGAAGAGCTCACACAAGTGAGTCCACAAAGTTATTTCTGAGCTCTGGCTCAGCCCTGACCGGCCCACCTGTTCTCGCTGGGCACCTGTGGCGCTGGTCCTCACTAGCATACCAACCGTCTGAGACCCGAGCTGATGGGTAGATTCCTCCCTGGGTTCCCCCACTGGTCCCAAGATGGTGACAGATCCAAATAGTGCAGCAAAGGCTTTGAAAACTGAACTGACATTAGAACCAACACTCACAGAACGTATGGCCCAAACCTAACCAGATTGATTACTTGCTAAAACAAGACCAAGATTCTCCATAGGATTTGCTCCCATCTATCTCCTCACGTAACATTCAAAATGCCCGGGGTTACTATATAGATCAATACAAATCATCCAGTCTGATCAAGAGAGAAGAAAGGAAAAATTTCAATGTTATGTCATAGTGAGGAGGGACCATAGGCAAGCTAAGGGCCAAGCACAAGCTAGCACACCCCCTCCCCATCCAACCAAGGTAGGATGTCTGTGATACTCCTTAGGCGCTCCTGGCTGCCCAAGAACAAAGGAAAGGACAGGAAACAAATGGTGAAACTGATAGTCTCCATCAGTTTACAAATATATCATCAATAGCCTCATCTCCAGGAACTCCCTACTACCTTAATGATAATGCTTCACTAGAGGGAAAAACCACCTTAGCTTGACAATAGCTAGGCCTCC